AGTACTGATGATGCCTGGGGCCTAGGGAGTGGGAAAGTGGGCGGTCTAGGCTCCAGGCTTGGCTAGGACCCTGTTGTCAGGGGCTAGGACCCTGTTGTCAGGGGCCTAGCCAAAAGCAAAGAGTAACTGGGGCCTGGCGAGTGGGTAAGTGGGCGGGCCAGAACCCAGTAGGTAATCATCATCCCATCCTGTTTTTTTAGGTTTTGGGGTCTAGGATTTGGGTTTGAAATGTAGGATTGCAATACTAACAATAAAGGATACTAACAATAAAGTTTGAAAGTTGATGGTTAATAATTAGTATTTAGGATTTGGGCTTTAGGCTTTGAGAATTTTTGGCTCAATGAATCCACAAAAAAGAACATCACTTTTGAAATGACTCAACATCACTTTTATAAGATGATTCCTTAAGACAGAGAATGCAGTTAAGAAGGCGGCGGCCACAAGTGTTTCTAGGCCACATATACATTCAGGCTGTAGCTAGACTGTATGTGTTCCGAAGCCTGTTCGAATGTAGTTTTGGCTAGCTTATTATTGCGTGATGTGACTTGTTCTGTATTCTTCTGGTCCAATAAGGAGGTTGGTGTTCGGAAGAAGAAGACCAAGAAGAGTTGCCGGCACAAGCATTTGCGAAGGAAGGCCACGTTGAGGCCTGCGAAAAGTGTTAAGAAGATATGCAAGCCCCGCATTGCGCCCATCCCTGAGGAGCCCAAAGACTCAGCCCCATGTAGTGCCGAGAACTCCCCAACCGAAAGTGGAGCAGCTAATGATGTGGCCGAGCGGCCTGCGAAGTGGGTCCGCGTCACGGCATCTACCAACGGTCCTGAGGATCCGGAGGTTGTGCGCTATTTGCTGAACCTGCTGTGGTCCTTTGCAGGCTGCGATTACGAGCCCAACTTGGGTTTGCATGAGCAGCGCTACTCGAGCTTCAGGTTGAATATCTACTGGACACGAGACCATGTGGGGATTCATGACAAGCTCAAGAAAAAGGATGTGGTCAGCTTTACATCGGAAACCGCGACCATTTCCACACACCTTGCTCTTGCGAACATGGTTGCACGATCCTGAGAAATCAGCAGATTATTCATTCTTGTGCTGCTGTTGCCATAGTTCTAGCGTTCCTGCACTCAATCCTGTCAAGTAAGGCAACGAAGCTGGATGCTGACCCAAACTTTTTGGGAAAAGACGAGGGCAAGACATATGTCCGAGTTCTGAAGACTTCCATGCACTCTGCTTACCGGAAGTTTGTTAATGAGGAGTTGCCTGATGACTACAACTGAGTCATAGGATGCGCAAGCTGAAGTACAATCACCCTATAACGTCGTACCCTCAAGATATGCATGAGGACAGCGCGGGCATCCTGCGTCTCTGCAAGTCATGCATTCTTGTTTGGAAACCTTTTGTGGTGTGTGCTGATACACACACACACAGAGAAATCCAAAACATGAGTTTCAGGCCACATGGCTGCGCGGTGCAGGCGTAATGAAATTATGCTGCCTAGTCGTGCGATCATCGCAGAAGCTTGGGGAAAAATTGGCTTGCTCACCGTGTGCCGGGAAGGATCTGCTTTGTATTTCCGACTGGGGCCAGGTCGTGACTCTACTGAGCGTGCAAGCACTCTCTTGCCAGGTGGTACGTGTTTCCCGGCAGCTCCTTCGCGGTCGCTGCCTCGCCGCGCGCCGGGGAGGCTTGCAGAATCGTGGTCTTCCTGACTTGTTTTTCGTGCGGTGTGAGCTTACACGGTTCCGGAGGATTAAGCGTGCGAAGTTCTCAGCAGCTGCACATGTAACCAATCCGGAGAGTTTGTATTCTAGCTCAAGCTGGGTTGGTGGGGCTTTTCAACGAGTCTGACCAGGACATGTGGGATCACGACAGTACATGATGATCTGATGGTGTTCCTTATCTCTATATAGGGGGGCTTGCGCAGCCAAACATCGTACCGAGATTGTGACACAAATCTAAACAACTGCTCTCGCATTTTGCTCCTGTCATTGAAGCCCTTCTCTGACCCAGACCCTGAAGGACAGATGGAGACTGAAGGGACCAACCTTACCTCGGCCAAGGCCAGCATACTCGTGAAGAGGCTGCAAGCGCTTGGGGCTCCAAAGGCACCTTGACCTGTCCAAGTGGAAGCCTCAATTTCACCAAAGCCTCAAAACAACATTTAATTCATCAGTGTGGCTTTCTTGGTGCGCACGGGTTGGTGCTGGTGGCTGCGAGTTTGTGTTTTTTTCTTGCAGTTTCTGTATGCAAACTTTTCAGAGTGTAGATGTGCTCACGATTTGGGGGTTTGGGCTGATATGGGCCTGAGAGAAATTGTACCCATCTATACTTCTGAACTGGCCTACTACGTTTTTCTTTTGCACTCTTCACAACCTAGAGCTCCAGCCCTGCAAAATATTTCTGGCCACGTCTCTGAAGGCCTTTATCATGGTGGTCCTCCTGGTTGGCTTCACCCACTTCAAGAAATTGCCAGACAAGGCGCGATCCAGAAGTGCAAAGGGACCGATCTTCCATAGTCCTAAGATCGCTAGGCGTGATGTGCAATCAGGCGTATCGATGCGTTGAGTTATTTGCCGGCGTCGGCAACATCTCGAGGATGATGCGTTTTGCTAACGTTGCAACTGCAAGCCACGACATAGCCTACGGCAAGAAACATTTTCAGCACAAAGAAATGAGTCCAATGGATCTGTGTACCCCAGCAGGCTTTGCGTCCCCAGGCTTCAAGTGCACCTGTCGTCTGGTTTCTGGGATTTTGCAATGCACCTACTTGTACTCTGTTCAGCTAAGGCTCTGCGTTTGGTTGATATTGTCTGCTGCTGAAGATGACTTCCTGCTGGTTCTGGCGGTGGTCTGCACAAGCTTCTGTGCAATAAACAAAGGATCGAACCGGCGTGATGCCCTTGTCCCATATGGAGATCAGGCGAAAAATTATGTTGCCCAAGGTAACCTTTTGCTAGAGAGGTCACTTGACTGAAGAGTCTGCTGCTACTAGAATGCTTAATTACCTCCTGCCATGTCAACCCCCTTGCCGGCGATCAAACTGAGGTGCATCTTATTGATAGTTCTTGGGACAGCTCGCGGAGCCTGCTTCTTTCTTGAGCAACCAAGCAACTCGGCTCTGCTTCATCATCCTCGTGTCGAATGGCTCCGCTTCAGATCCATGATTCGCGCAGCTCGCCTGAAGGAGCCAACTTAAAGATGTTCAGTGAAGCGCATATGGCTTCAGATAAGGGAGTACTTTGAACATTGCGAATCGGTTGTTGGGTATTAGGATGGATGTCAACTGCTAGCCTAGGCTTACCACATCCGATGGTGGATGAAGCATTGGGGGGCACCTTCGCCATAGCGTCAACTTGCCATCACAAACTCGGCTGTCATGAAAAAGCTTGACAAAGGCCGGCTCGTGAGAGATCAGTCTGAGGGGCCCAGCAAGAATGCAAAGAAGTACATAGATCGAGCTGGCAAACAACGCTACACGGGGACCCGCCTTCTGAAGGGTACGCAGTGTGCTACTCAGTCCATAATCTCCTCTCCTAGTATCAAAAACCCTTAGCCCCCCAGTATTATACATGGCCAATTAATATATTTGGATGATATTTGCTCTAGTGTTATAAGTCAATTTGGTGACCCCAGACCCAGATGCATTCAAAATAACCTCAAATCTTACCAAATTGATTTCATTAGGGAAATTATAGGGAAGGAAAAAGGGTTTGATATTAGGGGAGGGGATTACATACTTGTCATGGCGAAGCTCTTCAGCTAATGTCATGATGATTATTGTACATTCTGAGGACGTACCCTGTGCCCTTTGCGGTTTGGATGGTGCGACTTCTTCCTGAACTTTTGGGGGCGTCTGAGGGCAAGCCTGTTGTGCAGTCTGAAGTACCAGATGGACCGACGTGCTTCCAGGAGATGCCGTGGGATATGGCAACAGGATCGTGGTCTGATCTGGCGGATCTTTATCCTGTTCTTGTGTGCTTGAGAGGGAATGTAAATCTTCAGCTGCCCGAGCCGTGGAGAGCCGTTTTCCCAACGCGGCTTTGATCCGCTTGTAATTAAAGGTTCTGGCTGGGTGTCCCCGGGGAAGCCTCGCTGAAAACCCTTCTAAATGCATAGGATCGGGCTGCCTATAGGACTTTGAGAGTGCAGTTGAGCCTGCGGAGTCTTTCCAAGGACCTACGGCCAGACGATTGCATGACCTGAGGCCCACCCCACTGTATCCAAAAAAAGTGGCCCAAACCCAAAAAAAGCCATAACCTGCGAAACCCGAAAAAAAGCAAAGCCGTAACGTACCCGGAAAACCCCGTGTTAAACCCAGAAAAGGGCGTGAAAAAAGCGTAACCGGTGCCCAAAAAAAGCCATGATAAACCCGAAGAAATCCATAACCACTCCAATGTTTCGTTGCTACTCCCCGCGGCGTTATAGTTCTTTCAGTGGTATAGATGCCACATATTTTCCATGGAACGTGCCTCAACTCTTCCATCACGGGCATGGAGCTGCGCGGCCCTGCACAAGGGGGCATCTTACATGGTAGGTCAGGCAGTGAAGGAGGAACCCGTCCAATCGCTGGAAAATCGTTTGTCTGGGATGAGTCGCGATGAGCTACTTCAGCAAGCTCGTGTGGCTCAATTAATTTATGGCCTGTCAACACATGGTGACCGAGCTGTATCTAAATTCTCTGTCAGGAAGCAACCCAAGCGATACGGATGTTGCAGGAGGAGGCGTGGCTCCATTGTTGGGTTGCTCACTCCACATGTATATGTAGAAGTTGCGTGTTCAAACTGCAAGGGTGCATTGCATGTGTGTGTGTGGACAAATCCATTCTAAGCTATATTCCCTCAATTGCTGCGATAAAGTCAAACCCTGTATCTCACCCAGGGATCTTCTATGGCACCTCCAGTGGAAGCTCCTCATGAGGAGGCGAGGCTTCTGCACACTAGCACGATATAACCATTATGCAATTCCGAACAACATTGTGAGGCCTTTCCGCGTCAACCAGAGGATGAGGCTACTTATCTTCAATTTATTCTCACACATTTTTCTAATCCTCATTCATCCACTTCCCTAATATCAATGAAGCCCCCGCCCTCATAAATAATACTGATATGGCCGTTCAGGCGGATGACAGGGACACTATGCTAAAGAATGCTCTGATGGAGAATGCACGATTAAAGGCGGCCTTGGAGGCCAAGGCGTACCAAGTGCCCTTGCCGTCAACCCCAAAGACTCCCCGCGCTCGCGCTAGCCCCCTGGAAAGTGCAAGCAGCTCCGACAAGGCCACGCCGGCCCCAAGCAGTGTGCCATCCCCATGCCCAAGCCAGCCGACCCCCAGTGTCAAGAGGGCAGTTGCGGACGTCAAGTCCGAGGCAGAGATTGCTGAGCAGTTGCGCCACGTGGACCAACACAAGTTGGTTGAGAGGTACGATCTGTCCGACAAGGACGGGTGGCAACACCTCGTATCTAGTCTGTGCAAGCTTGATGCCGCCCTCTTTCAAATTTTTCATCCTTGCTGCAGGAGCTGTCGTATCGTGCCGTCGACGCCCGCCTCAGACGGCTCTGTGAACGAAAGGTCAAGACTCGGAAGCTAGCCGTGCCCGAGTGGGTTCATGAAGAATGGAAGAATTTGGATCGCCGCGAGACATTGCACTTGTCTCTAGTTGAAGCCCTAAAGGCACATGGTACACAAGCTTCAGCTGAAGTCCGCAAGTTGGTGAAGGCAGGTCATACCCTAGCAACCCCCATGACAAATCAGAGTATCACCCTTGGCAGGCCAAGTTTATCCAGCGGGTCACCATCCGGGTGCGGGGGAAGGAAAAAATGATCAAGGGGCTGTGGTGCACGGAGGAGAAGATGAGAACAGAACTCAAGTACAGCAAGACACTTGCCTATATCATTATAGCCCAAGCTAGGCGCGCCCGCGTTTCTGCGTTCCCCATTGCATCTCAGGACCTTGATTGCCAAAATTGTGGCTTATTGTCGGAAGTTCCCTTTGAGTCTGGTCAGGCAACTATCGCTTATCCTGTGCAAGTGTTGTTTCTTGAATGTAGCGCTGCTCCTGAAGACCCTTCAAGTATGACGAGTCAATTTCAGAATACTTTGTGGAGACGGAAGAGACGGAAACCCTACGGGCCTCTGAGATGACGGAGGTGTCGCAGCACGAGCAGTTTGAGGCAGCTTTCCTGAGCGTAATTCTCATGTTTGTCTCAGTTATGAAGAGCAGTGTAACCTGGGATGGGTTAGGTTCGAGATCTGAGGAATTGAATATATATATATATATTTATGATGTGAGTAGTTGCTTGAGGGGAATGGAGGGGTTGGGTTTCCAAGGCAAATCATAGTGGGGCCTCAATTTAAACCTAAAGTCATGCTGAGATTGGAAGTAGCTTCAATCGTGGGATTCCAATATAGGTCCTCCTGGGGCACTATTGATATTCGAATTTTGAACACTTATAAGCTGGTGTTCTAAAGCCATCTTTCTCTATGAGGGGGTGGTGTAGCACAGAACACAATGCCAGGATTGCAAAGAGGGGAACGATGCCTTTGACGGTGCGAAGGCTGATTTTCAGACTATGCAGATGCGTGGCCCCGGTAAGCCTGATGCTGCAAAGCCTGCAAACCCTGCTGACGAGGCAATTCTATGTGCTCAACTAAACTCATCTTCTTAGACTCATGTTGTTTCGACCCTGTAGGCCATCGAGGACTGCAAGACTTTCATTACGGCCATTGGCAATAAGCAGTCTACTTTGGCATCCTGGCTATCCCAATTGGACGGTCCTTCCAGCGCAAACGTGGAGAAGATTCTTAGCTGATATCTATGGTCAAGCTTATTCCCTCTATGATTTTGGCTTGCGTCTCCCGAGGTTCAAGATAATGCTGGTGTCGACCAATGAGATTCTGGAGGAGTGTGCCGAAGATATGGCCCAACATTTGCAGGATGTGGAGAGCATGCCTAAAGGCGGCTCAGTGAGCCACACGCACCTTGAATGAATTACAAGGAACTCTTGATGATCCATGATATAGAGCCCCTCATTAAAGTGCCTGAAACCCAAGACGCAACCATTACTTCATGTCCTCAAAAAACCCCTACCTTAAGCTACGTTCCAAGGTTGCCAGGATTTCGGATGCCATTGCAGCGACGAAGTTGAAGGCTCGAGCGCCGCAGCTCGACAGCGCAGGATCTGGGCGTTTTGGGGATACCCTATTTAAAGCCCTTATAAGCCCTTAGGACCGAAACTCTTATAAATGTAGACTTCGGAAACTTGGGGTGAAGGTATTATAGGAATTTACATTTGTGCCAGAAAATTTCGGCGCTCAGGTGTGCCAAACTGGTGGCCAAAGAGAACTCCTTCAAGTCAGGGGCTTACATTTTCACTGCGATCCGAATGCTTTACCTTTCCAACTGTCAAGTTGTAAGGATCATCTTGGCTGAGTACAAGAAGGGTATCAAGGAGGGCCAGAGCCATGCTGAGGCTCCTAAAAAACAACCCGGCTGAAAAGCCACCGCGTGCGTCAGCCAAAGGTAAAGCCAAAGCTAAACCTACCAAGGTTAAACGCAAGGCTCGTGAAGAGCCAGCCCCGGAGGTTGAAGCCCCAAAAGCAAGTGCGAGGAAGAAGAGTAAGAAGTAGAGTTTCAGAAGCTACAATTGGTCAGGGACCAGTGTAGTGATAAGCCTACGCTGCAGCCTGAATTTTGGATGGTGCGGATTTCCACGATTTGACCGCGATCTGCATGCAGCTTAGAAAAGACGATCACATCATATCTCAGCAATCTTGATGAAGCATGGCCCTCCAGATTCTGAAAGAACACAACCCCTTGACAACCCCAATGCCAGGTCCCAAGCAGGTTGGTCGCGTGCTTGCTTCCCACATCGCCCAAGGAGCCAGAGCCTCAACCCGGAGGGGTTTAGGCTTGATAGGGTTATAGGGTTTATATTATAAGGGTTTAGAGTGTCTAGGGTTTACAAGGGTTTATAATAGTGTTTAGGGTAGGGTATTCTGATGCCCCAGGTGCCCTGCAGACGTGTTTTGGAAACAGCTCGGGCCGTGGCCCAACGAGATCGGGATCGGGGAGTTAAAACAAATGATCCTGTAGTGGAACGCTTGGCTAAAGCATCCCCGAGCCATTCTGCAACTAGTCTGCCCAGCAGGGTTTTCAAGTGAAATTTTCTGCTTGCATCATTTAATTTTAAAGCCCAAGAATCCTCATTTACGAAGTATAGCATGCACACCCAGCCCTCCAATCAACTCTCAAACTTGAATCCCGGAACCCTTGAATGTGACATCCCAGGCAAAAGAGTGCTATCGGCAAATGAAGAAGCACAAGCTGATGTTGGGGGTAGAAATCAGTCAAGCACAGATTGGCAATTTCGAAAAGTATGAGTACATCAAGCCTTCAAGCTGGATCCGGTATATGGATGAATTCCAACAGCTAAAGCGTATCTTCGGGACAAGGTGTTTGGAGGACATAGCGCCTGTTTTGGAAGTCTTTTGGCAGAGATTCGAAAAACAGTGCCCCGGCCACATGGTCTTTCAAAGAGCCCGTGAAGGTAAGCTCAGGCTTGAGCAAACGCTTCCATACTACTTGCATGCTGATGAAGGCCGAACATTAAAGAAGAAAGCGTTGTTTCTCATACAATTCCAGATGGCTTTTGGAAAAGGGGCTGGCAAGAAGAACAGCCAGCAAATCCTGGAGGCCCGCAGAGCAGAAGGCCGATTGCAGCCCAACATGAAGGGGCACACTTTCACAACGAGGTACTTGTGCGGCCTCATGCTTCGATCTGATTATGCCGACGACCCTGGAAACCTTGATCAGCTTATTAATCTGATTTGCGAAGACCTAGCAACTTTGGCCAATGATGGTATTATTGTGCAGGGTCGACAAATCTGGCTGGCTCCTCTTGGAAACAAGGGGGACTGGGATTATTTGGCGAAGGTTGGGCATTTCAATCGCTCATATCGGAATGCGCCGAAAGGCGCTACCTCACGCACTGCTGACAAACCCATGTGCCATTTATGCCTTGCTGGATCACCGGGGTATCCCTATGAAGACGTGTAGCCCAACTTAACAAAAAACATTTTTATATGGGGTTAAACAACAACAAAAAGAAAGACAACTATTTTCTCTGTTCTTTGATAGTTTGATTCCTGAACAAAGGTCAGAGGCTCCCGCCTTTTTGGAAACCATGCCCCCCCCCAACAATGCCATGGGCAGATGGTGATGAGGCGGCCTTTACTAGACTCCTGTTGCATGATGAGGGCAACAAACCTGGGTTCCATCGTGCGGATCTGTTCCATAATGTGCAGATGGGACAAGGAAAAGTCTTCTCTGCCTCCTCTTTAGTAACGTTGTTGCCTTTGGTTGACGGCAACTCTGTGGATGCAAAACTCAATTGTATCTTTGAGATGTACAAGGGGTACTGCAAAGAATCATGATTGCACCATTTGCCTTAAATCCCTATATACCATTTATTTTCTCCTTGTACCTAGTAATATCCTTTTTTCCTTTTTGTTTCGGGGTCTCCTTATGAAAGCTGAACAAGAGGAAAAAGGGTACCTTTATGAGTAATAAGGGATTACTGGGGAGCCTAGTGAAGTGCACTTCTCAGGAAATCCAGGTGTCGCCCTACATCCAAAAGATTACAAAGGATACCCTGAGAATCACAGGCCAATATGATCTGCCAGAGGCGCATTGGAGCCGCGGGGCAGTCACAACCGCCATGCTCGGCTTCATCCAATGGTTCTGTGAGAACAACCGGCCCTCTATTGATGGCTGTGAAGCCTATGAGCTGATTGCCCCTATGCTCATTCATTACACTATGTTGCCACTACGGCTTTGTTTAAAAAAAAGTTTGATGGTGTGTTTCATCTGGTTTTTCATCAGTGAAGGCTGCAGCCTCCAAGTGTCTCAACGAGTGCATGCGGATTCTGTGGTTGGAAGATGTCTGGTTGAGCTCTGAAATCGCTAACAGGGCCGGGCAGCTCGGCAAGTACTTTCTCCGGGCCTACGTCAGATTAGGCGAGATCGCATGGGCGCAGAAACTTCCGCGCTGGCCGTTATTGCCAAAACACCATTCACCCTACCATACATTTCATGAGCTCACCTCGAATGCCTCTCTCAACGAATGGGTACTGAATCCCATTGCGGAAAGCACCCCCATGGACGAGGATTTCGTGGGAAAGGTTTGCCGGATTAGCCGGCGTTGTGGGACGCGGGCTAATGTCAAGTCTTGCCTTCGCAGGTATCTCATAGCGTGCCATGATCAATGGCAGGAGGAGTGCTGATGGAAGAAAGGATGTCTTTCGCACCAGACGTATAGTCCCTCTTAAGTAGATAGACTATGGGCTATATGGGGATCTTATTAGAATATACCCATGTTCTTAAAGCCATATTCTATCTACTTAAGGGAGACTATACCCACACATCATACAAAAGAGATTTCATGGATACTTGGATGGTATCTGCATTTTTCCTGCCGCAAGCGGGTTTCTAGATCTTTCCATGGAACCCGAGAAATTCGCACCTTAGTGCTCCCTGGGTAAGTCCTCAGCGCAGTCCTTAGCCCTAACACTGGATAGTAGTTTCCATTTTCTTCTACATTATCCCAATATATCCCCTATACATCACCCCTATATAACCCATATATAACCCCTATATAATCCCATATATAACCCCTATATAATCCCTACTAAACCCTAAACCCCAAACCCTATATACTATAGTAGTTTCCACTTTATTTTCCATTATCCCTGCTAATTCCGAAGCCCTCAGCGCAGTCGAGGCTACGCAGTCGTGCAAGTAGGCCGTGAGCGCATCGACAAGACGAACATCCTCGCCGCGGCTCACGAGGCATTCGCCCCAGGCTTTGGGGTTTTGAGGGGTTTAGGGTTTTAGGGTTTAGGGTTTTGTGGTGTTTAGGGTTTTAGGGGTTTGGGGGTTTTAAGGTTTAGGGTGTTTAGGGGTTTTAGTAGGGGTCTGGGGTTTTAGGGTTTAGGGGTTTAGGGTTTGGGGCCCTCCCCATGGTTGTCAACAAGTAGTTTTAGGATTTATGTTGGATGTAGGAGTCAGGGTTTAGGGTTCAGAAGTTAGGGGTTCGGTTTTTCTCCTATCCGAAGTTTGATTTTGTATACATAAGTAGGAGGGTCTTCGCAACCCAGCTGCCGCCTCAAGTAATACACTTCTAGATGAGTTGCCTGTGTATTCCCGGATGGCAAACCCCGCTTCTCAAAAGCCCCACACATCCCCACACCATAACTGGAAGCCGCATTCTCAAGTCCTAAGCTTTCAGCATCTTGGGTCAACCAAACAGTTCTGAACTCCAAACATTGAACTTCGATCCCTAAACCCTTCTAATCCCCTCCCCTAACATTAATCCACCCCCTCTAATGCTGAATAGGAACTTCGATCCCAAAACCCTTCTAATCCCCTCCCCTAACATTAATCCACCCCTTCTAATGCTGAATAGGCCCTATATATGCAATAGGCCACCATTTGATATGGGGTGCCGTACTACTGGGCGGAGTCCTAGGTCACCCTATAGAACCCGCCCCAGTTTACATTTCATCTTCCATGTACTTTCCTTTTCCATTTGATTCCCTAAGCCGTCTTCTCTAAAGCGTAAACGTTCCTATACCCTACCTAAGCCCTGAACCCCAAGAGGATTGCTAAAGCTCCCCGAGGCGATGGCAAAGGCAGTTCTCAAGCTGCAGAAGACCCTTGGCATGAAAAGGCTTAAAGCCCACCTGCAAATCCACCTACCTGCAGTTTTATGGGTTTAGGATTTAATTGCCGCTAGGGCTAAAGTTTCATTATTACCAAACTGTACATAATCGTCGTTACAGGCAGGGTTCTGAGGCTGCAGGGTTGGCAAGTTTCTGCGTGAAGGCTGCGATGCGTCGAGCGCTAGGTAACTTGTGATTTCAGCACGATCTTGTGGTTCAGATTTTGTGGTACCAATCGTATTCCCGCATGCACCTCCTACAACTGGACCTTCTAGCATGTCGTTCAACCAGCCCATGTGCTGAGAAAAAGGGGGCTTGAGTCAATGACCCAATCGGCGACTGTAAGGCGTTTTGCAGGTTTCGGCTATGCTGTGCGCACATGCGAAGTCGTACGAACAGGGTTCATGAAAACTCGAAGCCTCCAAAC